TCATGCTGAGCCACTGGACCCCAGTAAAGTCACCCTCCTGCACCTAGAGGGTAGGAAACGGGAGGGTAACTAAAACATTTGTATATGTGTGTGTTTGTTTGTATGTATGTGTGTGTGTTTGTGTATGTGTGTCTGTATGATTTTTTGTGTGTATGTGTGTATGTTTCTGTATCTGTCTGTGTGTGTCTGTATTTGTGTATGTGTTTGTATGTGTCTGTCTGTCTATGTGTATTTGTGTGTTTGTCTGTCTATGTGTATCTGTCTGTGTTTGTGTCTGCATATGTTTCTGTTTGTCTGCATCTGTGGGGGGGCAATGTATTGGAGGGGTAGGGTAGACGTATGGGGAGGTGGCGGGGGAAGACATATGGAGGGGCCCCAGGGCAGTTTTCAGACTGGGGCCCCATTGTTTCTAATTACGCCTCTGCCCCTTCAAGGCAGAAGCTCTATGTGTCCTTAAAGCCTTGTCCCTGTTACAGTCCTCCTTACATAGTTACATAGCTTACATGAGACATGCATCCATCAAGTTCAGCCTGTCTCACATCTGTTTTTGCTGTTGATCCACAAAAATTCAAAAAACACAGTTTGAAGCACTTCAAATTTTGCAACAAAGTAGGGGGAAAAATCCTTATTGATCCCAGAATAGCAGTCAGATCTCTCCTTGGATCAAGAAACTATTACCCAACAAATTAAAAACGATATCCCTGAATATTATGCTTATGCGGGGGGCGTAGCGCCTGAGCCGAATGCACGCCATTTACTGGAGCTCTGGACATTTGGCACCTAATCTTCTCAAATCAGTGGTTCCTAGTCGCCATCGGAGCAATTGCCTGCACCCAACATCTACAGGAGAGGGTGAGTAAAACACCCATGCCTTTCTTGTACCTGAAAATAGGCAGGAAAGCGAGATGCAAATCCAGCTACTACTTAGAGTATTCAACCTCACGGGTTGTCCCACGGGACCTGGAGTTCGAAACTGAAGAGCTAAGGGTCGTCTTCCTGCATGGACACGCTGGGCACTTGCCAGGGGCCTCACAAGCATAGGGGCCCCACAGTGTTGCCCATGTACCCGGCCGACAGGGGAGATCCTTTGATCTCCCCTGCCGGCCCTGCTTACTTGTATTGGGCTCTCTCGGGCTGATGGGGAGATCAAAGATCCCATCCCACCAAAGCTAAGAAGAAGGGAGGAGGCACTGAGAGGGGACATAAATGTTTTTTTTTCCCTTCTAATTTTAAATAAAAATAACAAACAAAAATCCCTTTTCCCTATGCCCTTTTCCATTCCCCTCCCCCCCCCCACACACAGAGCACCCCTCACACACACACAGACACACACACAACACCCCTCTCACACACAGCGATGGGGTGAGAGGGGTGCTGTGTGTGTGTGTGTGTGAGGGGTGCTGTATGTGTGTGAAGGATGGTGTGTATGAACCAAAGTGCAAATGGTGACTGCACACACACAAGATACAGAGGATGATGTCCTGGATCTCAAGCGAGAGGTACAAGGGCTGAAAGAACAAATGCAAAACCTGCAAACTTTCACACTTCTCTGACACAGCAGGTCAATATCACTGAAGACCGCAACAGACACCCCGATATTAAAATCCGGGGTGTCCCGGACTCAATTTGCCCAGCCAGATTGCCAAACTACTTTAAGCGCTTGACCGAAACACTCCTAGCGCACCTTCAGACTAAAAGGCTCTTGTTTGACAGCTGCTACAGGATCAACAAATCCAGGGAGGCCCCATCCAATGCCACCCGAAACATAATAGCACAATGTCACTCCCTGTCAGACAAGAACAGCATCCTGGCCGCGGTGTTATGCTACTTGGGTTATTTGGATTGGAACTCAACTGCAGCTTGTAGAACTCCTTAATAACAATAGTAAAGAAACGAAGAATCTTTAAAGTATCAATACTGTAGCTTTAAGAAAAAAGAGGATTGCTGGCAATTTGAGAAGCAAACAAAGTTTTAATGATTGATAAACTTAAATGAATTGCATATAGGCAATAATCCAAATACAAAGTTCATTAATAAGTATTTCCTCCGAGAAGTATTAAATAAGATTCTTTAGGTTGCTGGGAATAATCTTCAACAGAAACATTAAGCAGGTAGCAGAGAGTATTTGCAAAGCAAGAAACAGTTCATAGTAAATAAGCATGATTTGTCCTCCATATAATTAGTAACTTGAAGCAGAGAAGATTTGAGCAAGCAGGAATTGGTTCATTAATAAATGATATTGCAGACAATAGTTGAAAGATATACTTAAGGTTAAGGTGAGTTGTCCTCCAAGAGTTCAGAGTTATAGTCCACTTGTAAATTAGCAAAGTATCCGTTCTCCAGTAATCCTCTATAGCTTGCAGCAATCCTTGCATTGGCTCAAAGGCCGGGACGGCTTGTCAGAGCTTGTGGAGCCGGCATGTATACCCGGAAGTAGGTCCCACAATCACCAAGCACCTTCTTCCTGGCGCAGTCTCCCTAAGTACTGTCAGTGCCGCGTCAGAAGGGGGCGGGGCCGGCTCTGCAATGCGGAAGTGCCAAACCTGGAAGTGATACCGCATGACACGCGGTGAGGGGTAGAACCCCATTTGATTTTGACGCTTCCAAACTGACATTTTTTCAAGATCCCACTAGGAATACCCTACAATGGCGGAAGTCCCTCAGCATAGTTACGGGTCAGTTGAGAGATGCAGGAGTGAAATACCGCTGGACCCTACCAAAATCCCTCATGGCTACCACGGCGGATGGCAGAGTTCTGAGACTCACCTCCATAACAGATGCAACTTCATTCCTCCAAACACGGTCGCGTATAATGCCTCCCACATCACCCAGACATGGAACCCAGCCCGAACACAGACTTTCATACCCGGAAGAAAAGAAAAACCTGATGCAGCAACCACCTCCAGTAATAGACGTTTTGTACTTTTTCTTATTATTCTGGTAAATTGTTTGGTTGTTAAGTTGTTTCTTCTCTCATGCCTTAATAAAACAGCGCAGCTCACAGACTGAAGTCAGTTCATACCCACCTAGGCCTAGCCTAAACATATAGTTTATGCTCCATGATGGCTCATACAGCTACAATAGAATCTTAGTTACTTGAGAATGCTCTCTACTCCCCTCCCCCACTGTGTCCCCCTTGATTAGGGGTCATTAATCTATCCATTATTTAAACTACAGGTACTTAGTACGACAAGTGGTGCCATTCAAAATAGCGCCCAACCTGCTTACACATGCATGAGACACACTACCTGGCCACGGTGGTCAGATAACAGATCTGTTACAGTTCATCTAAGTTTAACTCTTTTTTCAAAACTCGTTATTCTCTACACTCATCTTGATTAATATTACCAACCACCCACAAGGTACCTGCACCTGACATGAACAGTCATTAGATACAAATCGTACCGCACAGCTCTGACTGATACACACAGAAAAAAGAAAAAGTAACAGAGGCTCGCAAATGTTGAAGCTTGAAACTGTAGATACCGCATATTACTGTTTTGTCTCAACTTTTATTCTGAAACATGTAATCCTATAAACTTGCCTCAATAAAACAAAGATTGAAATAGAAAAGAATATTATGTTAATGCAAGTATTCGATCAATTGCGGTTTAAGTGTATTTTGATACGAATATATATATATATATAAAGATTCCAATGCTTGCACTCCTGTTATAATGCAAATGCCCGGTGCTTATCAGCAAAATGATTGCAAATACTGTATAAAGACAGGGACTTTGAAATGTGGTAAAAAAAACTATCTTTTATTCAGCATCTGCCACAGTGAATCAACGTTTCAGTTCTCTAATGGAACTTTCGTAAGGATAAAGTGCAATACAACAAACAGTGTTTAAATAGCATAAAATCATAATGAACGCATTGTATACAGCCTGTACTCACAATTGACCCCTGGACTGATCCAAGCTGCAAGAAAAAAATTGCGGGTTAATTTGGCCCGGCATTGCTAAAACTGCTGGTGCAGTAATGTGCTGTAATCACCTGCTTGCGTTCCAATGGTTGTCATAGGTATCAGTTGGAACGCATGGGGGCGTGTATGTCGGGTGGAGAAAGTAGTCGATCGTAGCCATAAGGCTCAGAACGGGAATCTAAGTACTGATAATCTGTCTAAACAGGGGATTTATATCTAAGTAGAAGAAAAGGGTTAGGAATTGCCGAAGATAATCACAATTAGATTATGAAGAACCTAAATTCTGGTGATCATTCTGGACGGAAGATATATCTCAAAGTGGAAGATACAATCATAAATACAGTATTGTAAATATTGATGATCGGTCATGGATGTAAATACATAAACTGTCCTACTGTATATTTGTAATATAATTGTGAAGTGCCAGATAGAGTATCTCGCTCAGTCTGGGACTTTCTCTATATAGCAATTGTTTGATCCGGTCAAAAGTACAAAGAGTAACAAAATATTTCTTGTCTTAACTAGTCCGATCATGGGCACAATATATTTCAGAACCTACGTTATACTCTATAAATTCTTGACTTGATAATTTATATACCAAAAATATTTACAAAAAATATTCACAATGTGACTTGTACGTATGCATGAGTGAAGCAGATAAATATAGAAAATAAATGCCAGAGAGAGATTGACCCGCCCAATCTGGTATTACGTTTGCTAAATTAATATAAAGATCAGGTATAAAGTACAGAGAATATACTGTTAATTATTGTCTTGTTTAACTGATCAAGAAATCCCAAGAGAGTATTTCTCATTAAGTCCTTTGGGACATACAGTGTCCAGGGTTTTTATCCAATATAGTTTCCTTTGTAGCATCGGTGAAGGAATGATTATTCTCCAGGAAGTGTTTGCCCACAGGTAATTCAGAGCCTGTAACGGCACCCCCAGGCATAAAAGGCGTTTAGGAGATATTCCCTTCCAGATACACAGGCAGCTACTGAAGACACCAATCTGGCGAACAGGAAACCATACGAATTCCCCAAACTCCCGAACCGGAACCATACGAATGCTTCAAACAGCCGAACAGGAAAAACCATACGAAAGGTTTACACTCCTGTCAGTCGAACTGGAAACAGCATACAATAAATCCCCCCCCCAAGAACGAGACAAGGCTCCGTGTTAAGGGTCAAGCAGTGATCTGTTTTAATGGGGCTACCTGCCCGGTATTTATGCAGGTCTTCCACCTGGTGGACAATCCCCTTGGGGACAAGATGGAACACTGGGACACAAATGGTACACTGACCAATCATAGGCATACACAATGAACACTCCCACAATTACAGAATAATCCCTCCTCTCTATCCTGGAGATAATGGGGAAGTAATCCAATTATCTCCCAGGACAGAGGCAAAACTCCATTAACCACATGGTAGTAAAAAGACATAAAAATATATAACTGTGCAGCAATTGCATAAAACAGGTACATTCAACCTGGTACACTGACCAATCATAGTCATACACAATGAACACTCCCACAATTATCCTGGAAATAATGGG